TGTCCCTCCCGCACGCTGCTCCTTCCCCAGCTCCCCATCCTTGCATGAACCCTCTGCCTCCTCCCACCCTCCTCCTCCTCCCCACAGCAGCCCCGTCTGGCAGCAAAGTTACGGTAAGGTCTGTGTCATGTGGCTCCTTTCATCTTTGCTCCTTAAACACCAGCACAGCTCCGCTGGCAGCCCAGCATCACCCACACTGCGCCGGTAGGGAAACTGAGGCATCGCTGGGTCCTGCTGCCTCGAGCCGCGTGAGCCCTCGTCTGGGCAAGCCATGCAAGGTGAGGTGGGGAAGTAGAAGAGCTGGGGGGGACGTGCCCCCCATGGCACACACTGTCACTCTCCTCCCCTCACATCCCCATCACCGCCAGGGCCGCTCCATCCCAGCTCCCGAACGTGTGCCAGACCCTGCACGGCCCGGCCTGGGCTGGGGAACCGCGGCTCTGCCAGTGCTGCCAGGCTTCAGGGGGTTCCCGTCAGGACGGGGGCAGGCAGGGGGGCTGCAGGGAGCCCAGGGCAAGGCAGGTCTGGCTCTCTGACATCGCCTGGCCTCTCTCCCTGCTCAGTGCCACCACACAGAGATCGCCCACCCGCCTGCAAGGGGGGTCGGGGCACAGTCAGGGCCCCTCGTCCGTCACCCCACTCCCTGGGCAGAGTGCTGGGGACACGGGGCTCTCTGCCCGTCCCTGCTTCTCCTGCTGCAGCCCAGGGCCCTTCTCCAGCCCTGTGAACTTCTGTGTCCGTCTCCTGGCTGTGCAGCTGAGGAACGTTTTACCCTTTGCACTGGCCTCAGCTGAGGTCATGTTTTCGGCAGAACTGAGCCAGGCTCTTTCAGGAGAGGGGCCCCGGCTGGAGGGCCCGGGGGACCTTGCACCACCCCTCTGGCCTGGCAGCAGCCTCCTCGCTCCGAGCTGGTGCCAGCACAGCATGAGCAGCTCGGTTTGGCGCGGGATGGGGCTGGATGCAGCTTTGGTCCAGTGAGACACAGAGCAGGCCGGGTCCCAGGACCGGGGGGGGAGCAGGGTGCGATGCCAGCAGCCAGCGCAGGCAGAGCAGTTGTGTCCGCTGGCACCACCATATCCCCGTCCCTCCCTCTGTCCTAAGGACAAGTCCCAGGGAAGGGCAGCGGGCTGGCCCTCCACCAAGGCAGATCTTCCTCCTCTTCTCACCATACAGCCCCTTGCACCCCCAGGGAGGGGACGGGAATGGGGAGGGCTAGGGTTTTACCCCAGGTGGCATTGGTGTAAACCAAAGCAGGGCTTTGGTGGAGGAGCCCTTGGGCCCCGCAGTGCCACAGTACCTCCGGACAGCATGTGTATGGGGCAGGGAGCCCCGCCGCGAAGGACAGCGAAGGGTCTGCTGTCCTGGGGAGGAAGGACGGAGCCAGCAGCCCCCAGATGTGCAGGCTTCTGGCGTGCTGCTGGCCCCGGGCTGGGCAGCGCTGCTCCCTTCCCTGTCCCCGTCGCTGTTCCTGGCCGGCCTGACCCCTGGCTTGCTCTGCCGGCCTCAGAGCAATTGCCCATGTAAGGGCAGAGGGCTGGGGAGCCAAATCCCCGATCTGGATTTCAATGAGCGAGCGGGTGGTGATGCACTCGCTCACATGCTCCAGGATGCAAGAGGAGCTTGCAGAGGCCAGGAAGGGATTTTCCCTGGCTGTGAGCAGCGTTGCACAATCAGCCGGCTCTGGCAGGGAAGGGGTCAGACCTCGCTCCGGAGCAGCAGACGCTGCCGCATCTGGAAGGGAGCAGCCCGGCTCCCGCTCTGCCTGACGTGGGGCAGGAGGAGCC